AGTTCCACTGCAGCCCTCTAAAGATGCTTCCTTCCACCTTGCCCACAGCTGCAGCAACTTAGGTTGTGCTGTAAAATAGATCAGCAAATTGAAGATGTTAAATTCAGCAAAAATCATCCCCTTTCCCTGACACAGTGCTTAGGCTTACAATGTGACTTAACCAGATTCAGCAAAGAGATGAGCAGGAACAAGCAAGCAGCTGAAAATAGAAAATATTTAACTGACACTGCCTCTATACTGTACTTTAGCCACTAGATGATAAAACTGCAAAAAGACTCCGTGCTAATAAACTCAAAAATAACAGTGGGACAAGTAAGGTCAGGAGAGTAACAACTGCCAATAGCTTAGAGCCTCCCACCATACAAGTTATTCTACCACTGCACATGAAGCTGAAGAAAACATTACCATGGTGCCTAACAATTAGAAAAGCAAATTGTTCCAAATCAGAAACAAAAAAACATCTGAATATTATGCTACTCTGCAAATTCACCTTATACACAATTCCTGAATTGGCTGTAGGACTTCTACTAGAGCATGTCTGCACAACTTGACAAACATAACCATTCCCTGACTGTGTCAGAGGCATGTGACTGAGTGACTTGCACCTAGGTAGAATCTATAGCATTTTTTTTTTTTTACCCATCTAAGTTATCTTTATCTAACTAGGTCACAAAACTATTTCTATCAAAGATAACGTTGCACATACAAGGTTATTAAAAAATATATGAAAACCCAAATAAGGCATTATCTATTATGCTGCATATAAAATTCAGTAACATGCAGGAATCTGAGTTTTAGGAAATTGTTTTTGTTAGGTAATCTCACAGCTTCAGCTGCTGCACTGGCACAACAGGAAAGGTAGAGCTGAAGTGGAAGGTGTGGTGTGGTATTAGATTCTCTGGTATCTTTGGGATTACAGAAGAACAAGATTGCACTGTTCTGGCTGCAGCAGATGCAGTTTAATAGATGCCGTTCTCAGTCTTCTCACAGCTGACTGTTTCAGATCCTTACCAGAGATCATTAATCCCCTAGTTCCCTACAGTTAAACATTCAAGACCCAGCATAGAGGACAATGATTTCAACTAAAACACATGGATTCCATTAGCCAAACAATTAGACTGGCGGAACTGAAGGGTCAATATACAAATAACCTGGACCTTGTCTCCCAGAGCCTGGCATGAGCTAAGAGAAACCATGTGCAGAACCAAGGCATGTGGTCAGACTTTACTGAGGACATGTGCAGCTAAAGACTGCAGACCCAATTGTGTGGCCATTGAGACCATTTGTCTGGTAAATACTCCAGTTTGATTAAGGAGAGCACATTAAGGAAAAGAAAACTGAGAAAGCACAGTCATCAACTCAGCAGGCTAGTTTCAGAAACAAGAAAGCATTAAGACTGTAGACACTTCTAGAAAGTTGCAACACCAGCAGTCAAAATGCATTTGGGAAACTCCTATGATAACAGTAAAGCCATGCAAATTTGTTTGAGACATCACAATTAAAACCCAGCATTTGATGGTGCTTAACAGACTTGCAGTTTGCCATTTGCTGGAAAAAGTGGAGCAAGTGATGAACTACAGAATTCCTTCATACAAAAAGTGAACCAGAAATAAATTGTTCACAAAAGCACATTATGGGACCCACAATCTCTAGAGAATTAAAGCCAAAGTGCAGCTCCCAGTAACAAAGAAAAAAGCATTGCATTTGGGAAAATCTTGATCAGGATCCCCTCCGGAGTAAACTGCTTAATACGTGTTCAGTGACATTCTCATTTCATTATCTCCCCATGTAAAATTCCTCCTTTTGCTACATAGTATGAGTTATAATAGCTCATATCTTATGAAACTGCTGATACAATGGAGGAAAACTCAACATAAAAACTCAAAAATATAGTTAAAATAATTAAGTTAATTAGAAAGGTAATATTTACACGTGAACATTTTAAAAATCTACCACATCTTAACGTCTTTTGTATGCATACATATTTACAGCATTAACACCAAGACATTAATGAGATACTCACGCACTGGTGAACACAGACCAGTTAAAACAATATTTGATTCTCTCCTAAAGGCCAGCATGTCAACAAGACCAGATAAAACATCTGAGGAAGTCTCTGTTCAGCTTATTCCAGTTTTGAAACTTAACTGATCGTTTGGAAAGGAAAAAATATTAAAAACATGTTTGAAGGGCCTAACTTCAGTCAATAAGCAAGCAACATCACATGTCATGTAACACAAACCCTACAGAAAAACAGGGCCAGATATTTCTTACGAATAATACAGCACTACTACGTGTTGAGAACTTTCTGAATTTAGTTACTCTTAAAGGACATCTTTCTTAAACAGAGAGAATAATTAAGAGTTTTGGATTTCTTTCCTCTTCTTAAATGTATTATGTCACAGAATCTGTGTTACCATAATTATGCACAGAAACATAACCATACTAGCATTGTGATTTAACTAGAACCTGAGTTTCTAGGACAAGCCACAGGTAACATATAACCTGAAGTATCAAAATACACATAAAAAAAATTACTGGTATCCTCACTGTATTACTTACCAATAAGATAATTTGAGTATTCAAAAATATAAGTCTGGTACGTGTTTTCTGGGTAGCTATTATTGATTATCATTTATAATATGTAATGTTTTCCTGCCTAAAGACATTGTAAGCACATAAAAGATTGTCTAAAACTAAAACATGCTACAAATCCAAGTAACTGACAGGTAGTTCCCATTCATAAATAAAATTACTCCCACTCCCCAGAGAGAAAGTAGTATAGGTTACCTCCTTTTGCCGTCCAACAAATCTAACTCTCCTGTAATCCTTTTCATCATATACCTGAAATACATAACAAACTTCATGTTATTTAAAAAACCTTGACCATAAACAAAGATTACAAAAGCTAAGAACATTATCAAGACTAAATTATTTAAAGCACTTCACAAATTTCAATTGTCACCATCCTGCCAGCATGCATTGCACAGGAAAAAAAACAATTCCCCTTTCTTTCCAAGAAAGCATAGGGTGGAAAATAGAAGAGAAGGGGCAGGAAGCAGCAAGGTGGAGGTTGTTAAAGCCGGTAAATAGAAGCAATGACCAGAAACACCAACAGATTTATTACTTGTTCCTTGATCCCACACTGTCATCTTGAAGGTAAACTGAACTATGAAACATAAATTGTTTTGTTTTTTTTTTGTATATACATATATATATATATATGAATAAAATAAAACTTTCTAATATATATGAAAAACAGTCCAGTATCCATATATACGGCCTTCCAACATCAACTGCACCAGCCACACCTCTTTCAGAACTCCACAAAACATTACATGGCTCTCTTTAGTTGCCATACTCAGTTTGTATATATTGAAGAATAGAAGAAATGAACTTAGGAGGTAATCTTGTGTAAGTACCTTGTATCTGCCAACATCTCAACTACATCAATTGTTGCATTCAGATCACAGTGTTTGTTAACTACAATACTTAGGACTAAAAAAATACGCACACATAAGTTTTGACTATGTAGCATCCAATAACAATGAATTCTGTAGCATGCATTAAATAAGGAAGTGCTCAATTCTACTGTAAACCAGTTATCTGACAGAAATTGTATGCTGTCTAGACACTCTGGTTCAGAAAATTGCAAACATTTCCAAAGAACTTTCTCTGCATTTTTCGCGGATCAACTTAAAGATTCAACCATCACCTAACACTAATAGGTTGTCAAGAACTAAACGTGTGATAAGAACGTTCTAATCAAAACTAATGGACTACAGAGTTGCAATAACTCAGAATTAGTAACCAGAGTTTTTCTAAAAGTAATGCCTCCTGTTTAATTACACTGGCTCACAACACCTGAGGCAGATGTTGGTGGTATGGCAGTAGAAGTTCACAGAATCACTCTCATAGTAAAGACTTCCCCCTGACATCCAACCTAAATCTTCTCTCCCTCAACTTAAAACCATTTCCCCTTGTCCTGCTGTTATATGCCCTTTCAAAGAGTTGACTTCCCCCCTGAGCTGAACCTTCCTGACAATATTCCATTACATTTTGTCACCACATGACTGATAACAGCAGTGGGGCAGTCTGACAACGTGGCATTTGACAAGGAAATGCAGATGAAGCAAGGATATGCCACCAAATTCCTCTATGAGGAAAAATTAGCACCCACTGGCACTCATGGAGGCATGCTCACTGTTGATGGAGATCAAACAGTGCATAAGAGCACAGTGAGGCAGTGAGTGCTGTGTTTCACCACTGGCAACAGCAAATCAACCCAGGTGGTGAAGAGTTTTTATGAGTGCAGCATGCAAACTTTTGTTCATCGCTGGCCAAAACGCACAGCTAGTGGTGGTGACTATATTGCTAAGTAACTCTGCGTAGCTGAGAATTTGCTCTGCCAAACAGTATTACCACACTCATCATATCTGCTGTGGGTTCTATAGAAATAAATAGAAGACACTCATTATAGAGCAACATAGAAATACTCAAAATGAAGGGAAAGAAGTGGAAAATGCTTGTCTACGGTGCGTGTACTTTGTTCATGCCGCAAAGAAGGGGATTTGGAAGATGGGTACGTTAACATAGAGGGGAATAAAAAACAACAACACAGGATCACGGATGGCTTCAGCCTACCCAAGGCTCCTGATGAATTAGGGCATAAAATGCAAACACTGTAGCTTCACAATGGCATTAAGATAAAAACGTTCCTTCAGCTACTACCTGCCCGGCTTCACCCCTAAGAAAGCTCAGCGCTCCCCGCGCCTAGCCAGCTCCCCAGCGGGCAGCTCCCGGACCTCGCAGCCTACAGCCACCAGACCGTCCGTCACAGCCCCCCTCACCTGCCCCGTGTGCGTCACCAGCTCGCCCGTGGCGGCAGCCCGCACACCATAGAACCGAAGGGAGACGGCAGCAGCCTGACGGAGCAGCACCAAACGTCCCCAGGGGCGCAGCAAGCAACAGAAGGTCGCGCCGGGCGCCGCCATCTTGAGCCCGCTTCAGCGGGCCTGCGCATGCGCGCCCTCCGCCCCTTCCTCCGCCTGGTCTCGGCACTGCGCATGCGCGCGGCTCACGCGGGAGGGCGCCCTCGGCCCGACTGGGAGAGGAGCGGTCGGCGTCCGTCGGGGCGGCGGGGTCGGTAACGGTCGTGCCGCGTGCCCTGCGCCCCTCTGGAGGGAGGGGGAGGAGGGGCGGGGTGGGGAGCCAGTGGCGGTCGGTGCGCTCACAGCTCGCTGTCCCCGCAGGGCGCGGATCATGCTGTCCTTCCTGGCCAGGGTCGCCGCCGGGCCGCTCCGTTCGCTGGGCCGCTCGCCCTTGTGCTCGCTGGCGCCGCGGTGGCGGATGGCGGCCGTCCCCGTGCCGCTGTGCGGTGTGGAGGCCGCCCGCAGCCGGGTGCTGCTGGCTGGCCCGTCGCTGCCCGGGCTGCTGCGGCTCTGTGCGGGGCTGAAGACTAAAACGTCGATAAAAAGGCGCTGCAAGGACTGCTACATCGTTCGCCGCCGGGGCCGGCTGTACGTGTGCTGCAAGACCAACCCCCGGCACAAGCAACGGAAGCTGTAGCCCCGTGTTTGCGGCGCTCGTGAGTGGCTGGGAGCGTGTCCCAAAAGAGAGGAAAGCAATAAACGTGGTGCTTGTGTGCAAGGCCTTGAATTGTATGTATATCCGTGTCAGCAGGATCGCTCCCTTTTCCCTGGTTGTCCTGGCTGGCTGCTGGGGACCCAAATCAGAAAGTGACAGTGTTGGATCTTGGCTCTAAAAGTGAAGTAACCGAAGTTTGTAGCGTAGCAGTCACTGCATTCACCCTGCTTCAAACCACGGATGCTGAGAAATAACATGGAAAGACACAACTCCGGACTTCTTACTCTCTTAGCCTCAAAGTCTCTCTTACTATCAGCTTACTTTTAAGTTAGTAAGAGTGAAGTGAAATCCTCTGACTCAGAGAGATATTTGTGCTTCGTACTAAGCAAAACGAAAATAAATATGGTTGATAGTGCCTTATTACAACATACTATAATTCTTCCATTAAGAAAACCTTGATGTTGAAAACTGGTTACAGAACCAACGGTATAAAATGTAGTTGGGCTCTATAGTGGAAAAAAATTGTTACACTGAAAGATGATGTTCCAACTTTTGATTCATATGGGGGCTGCTCCTCCTGATTTGTTATGTTGGCCCACAGTGTCAGAGGTGTATTTTGGTGGTATGGTAGTAGAGATAGAACCTTCCCACCAGTATTCCACTACATTGAAAAAGTATTTTCATGTCTTTCACTTCACTGTTGCCACTGCTGTAACCTTTACTTCATGCATATTTCTACATCCTACACCATTTTGTCATATTGTCCCTTGTCTGTCTGTCTCACAGCATCAAAATGTAACGGAATATTTTTGGGAGGGTTCAGCTTCTACTGCCATACCATGCCAACATCTACCTCCATCATTGTGGTCCAGCGTAGTAAAATAGGAAGCATTACTTTTGTAGATACTCCTACTTTCTAAATGCTTGTGCATTTAAATGTAAGCAGAAGAGTTTCCTGGAAAATTTTACTCCTGCTTTAATGCACATTACCAATTAAGCAATCTAACTGGAGTCTTTAAAAGCTCTAATTTTCCAATTCAAGTTAACAATACCTTTTTATTTTAGGTGTCTGTTTTATATTTTCCTTTGGCAGAAAAGTCCTGTGTGTTGTAAACACACAGCTGATGAGTGTAGCTATTAAGACCTCTTTAAGGTAAACAGTGTAAATAAGTTTAGAAAACCCAGTGATTTTCTCAGCCCTTTTTCTGGATGATCATGGGGAATATGCAGGGACTGAGCCATAGGTTAAATGAGTTGCCCATCTGATAAAGTGAGAGTCTGGGGGATTTTTTAGGGAAGGAATCACCTCCCAAACAGTTCATCCAGCTCCATGATTCTGTCAGAAATAAAAGGCCAGACAAATGTATAGGAACTGCTGAATCACAGCCTGAACCTCTGATTGACCACCTGAGGCGAGCAATGAGTCAGCCCTGGGAGCACAGGTGAAGACAATTCACCAGTGCTACCAGAAGGGTGGAGCCTGGCTCCACCTCACTTAGACCCCATTTGAGAGCTGACTACCAGTAGGGAAGAATCTCTTTTGGAGATTGCTCCTCTTGGAGTCTTCTTGGTGAGCCTAGGATAAGGGTAAGCTTTCCACCTGTTGTTCTTTAGTGTGATGATCTGTTTAGCCTGATTTTCTTGTATGTTTCTTAATTATAACATTTGTTTATTTATTATACAACGAATTGTGCTGGGTTTCAGACTGAGCAGCATCAGATGTTGAAGAGGGAGATCTGCAAGTTTGAATCATCAGGGCTAGGAACAGCAATTGATCATGGGTTTGAATCACACTGTAGTTGTATGTGGAATTCAAGGGTGGATTTACTCATATCAGCTTGGTAACTGTTAAATCCAATTGTAATTCCTCTTTGCAACAGGGAATGAAATTTACAGATACAATTACTGTACTGGAGAGAGGCGCGCAAAACACTATGCTTATGTTTTCTCTTTTAGCCCAGAGCTTTAGCTCAGGTTATTGTAGAATACAGACTCAGCCCAACAATTCATAATTAGAAGAAAATATTTTTTCAATTAAAGTCATTGAATTTACTGCTAGTCAGAAACTTAAAATTTGAGGTAATATCAATTGTTTGATAGTGCTACAGATTATTCATTTGTCATCATCTGAATGGTCAGTTTGTGATACCTGGGGTGGGGGGTTCAAAAGAATGCAGTGTTTATGGCCATCATTTATACAGCTTAGTTGGTACCACATACAGACTTTTGGAAAGAGGGTTATAGGATTATAAACCAGAAGGCTTGGAATTGTGATTATATTCTGCTGTTTACTTGCTGGATAATCTTGAAAAAGTGATTTTGCCTTTGTCTCTGTTTTTCTATCTGTTAAGCAAGAATACTGAATTTCATGCTTCTGAGTAGGGCTTTTTGTTGAAGATGTCCACAAATTGTTACAGAGGTAGAAGAAAAAAAGGCTTCATATCTTCTTGTAATCTGGGTGATGTTGTGAAGGTGACTAGAGTTGGAGGAGCTGCATGTACGTTTTTGCTACTATAAAGTTAGATGCCAATTATGTTAGCCCCATTGTTGGTAGGTAAGGGTTTACATCTTGCATTGCAGATTTTCCAGGTGCCATGTTACTTAATAGCTTTTTACAAAGATTAGGACATTCAGCTGCTACTTAAGCTACCCAGGCTAAAAATTTAGTCCTGGAATACTAAAAATACCCGTTGATATTAGTTCCATAGTTGTATGATTTTGCTTTTTTATTTCATTGGTTTTTTGCACAGTGTTGTAAGGGTAGAAGTTGAAAGGTAGGCAGTGATGAGAGTGCAGTTAGACTGTAAGGTGGTTTGGGGGGAAAATAGGACCCAATACCATAGGAAGATGAATCCTTACACTAGAAAACGAATAAGACTTAGGCTCCAATTACAGTTTCAGCCTCTAGTTTCTTGCTGATATTGTGTTACGATACCCCTTCCAGTAATTCCTCATTCTTTAAATCCCCACAGTAGAGTAGGAGTGTGACAACTGATGTCTCCTGTGACTGTCTCCATTGTACAGTTATGAAAATAATTTGCAGTTGTGAGTGACTGAACTTGCTTAATTCCTCAAAACTGTCCTAGGGAATGAGACTGTCACATTCTCGATACGTAACAGGTGGATATGTATTTAGGTCAACTGGAGGATAAATTGTAGAACTCATGTATATTAATGACTGTCAGACTTTATGTGTATGGGAATTGCTGCATTGGTTGCTGAATTCAGAACAATGGCTTGTCAGTAATGACAGGTGGGGGAGAAATCTTTGGGAAGTGTAGTACTGGGGGAGCTGTATCTGCTTGGATCAAGGAGATACACACAGAGGTGAGCTGATTGACAGGTGACTTCTTGAGATTCTGACACCTCCGAAGTCTATTTCTCAGACTCAGTTAAAATAGTAGCTGTTTTTTGGTTCAGTGTGCACTTTGTAGCTATTCCAAATATTATATAGATTGGAAAAATAAAAATAAGCGTAAAAATGAAGGGCTAACTTTAAAGGTAGTTGCTAGTGCTTTTATGAAGTATTAGCGTTTGGAAGCTTTCATTTGTAGGGAAATGAAATGTGTGATTGAACAGTCTGTAATATCTGCGAATCTAACTGTGCAAAGAAAAGGAAAAATTGGAATTGCAGCTTTACAGTAAGAAATACAAAAAAACAAGTGCTCTTACATAAGGCATAAGAAGGTGAGTAGAAGGTTGCTTTCTAGTAGGAAGCAATGCAGATGGATGCAACAGTGCCATGGGAGGCACTGTTCAGAATGTGTTCAGAGTAATGCCAAAGTCTTCCTGAAGTTTCAGTGAGCTCTATGCATCTGATATGAGATATATGTCACCAAGCTTTTGGTAATGAAGTCTATCTGCAGCATATGCATATTCTAAAACTGAATCAGCAAGGCTGGACATGCTTTGTATGCACTGTGATGGAAACTATCAGATTACTTTTAAGGTACAAAATAAGAATGCATTTGTCCCATTCAGTTTAATAAGGCTGTTCATCCATTCAGATATTGATATTCATTCCATCACAGCCTATCAGATTATTAATTTTAGACCTTAGAATCTGTACTAGTAGCTTAAATGTAGTTGAATGTGATAGTCCTAGAGAGTGAAAATGGGCTGGCTTCCTTCTGGCTTGAGAGAATGATTTATGTCACTACCCATGAGAGATTGTCCTCATCTGTCCGATTTCTCCTGCTATCCAGGACAGGATTTTTCTTCCTGCAGGAAATAGCTGAACTGCACAAGAAGCTGCTATTGAACTGTCACAGTTTCTGCCCAGTTTGTTTAGGTATGTGGTACTCTTTTACTTTTATACCTCTGGGAGATAAACTGCAGCAGTTTAGTTATTGCTCCATATCCCACTCATAGTGGAGGCAGCAATCTTTATAAGAGATTCATCACAGTGAAGACATTGAACCTGATCTAAAAATGATGAAAATGGGTATAGAGAGAATATTGGTACCCTAGATTAAGCTGTCACTTACTGGAGTTATCCACCAGCCTCCAGAAATGGAAAACTCACATTTCACTGAAAAGCTTGGGTGTCAAACTTTGAGCTCTGTTGCCTGTAAATGTGAATACAGTATTGAAATAGAGCACTATTTTTCAAGAAAGCATCTGTTTTTATGTGCTGCATTGTGCAGGAAGGCAAGGGGAAGAAGATGAACTGTGTACTTGGTGGAGCTGTTTGATGTAAAAATGCACAAGTTCCATTTGATGGTTGAAAGTGAGCAAAGAAGCAGGCAAGAAATAATATACGCCTCTCTCTGAGATTAAAGATTGGTAATGGACAATGTCCAAATGAGGAAAAGGCTAGGAACAAGTAGTCTCAAGTTTTAAAAGGGGGTTTATCATGAGGAAAATAACTTGGGAGACTTTTTCTTTATAAAAGCCATGTCTGCAGTGTCTAAAATGGGTCACTTTTCTACGAAATTCAGGCTTTAGATAACAACCATTGTAGTTAGATTGTGTGTCAAGTATTTTACTTTTGCTTTGAATGCTCATCCTTCTATTAAACGACATGTTGGTTTCAGGAGAGTTGTCTGGTCATTCATCCCAATCTCCAATTGCACTGTCACAAAGAGAAACTTATATGATGTGTTTAAGTGAACTGCAACCACAGTAAATACAAAACAGTAATCCAAGGCTTAGTCTGAAGGCTGAAGAATTTTATGAGTCAAAAAAGACAGCCAACGAATACAGAGTGGGTAGACCAGGCAGCTGGTTGTGCAAATGTGAGCCTGCTCTGAAACGCTATCGCTTCCCTGTTAAAAATGTAATGGCTTTGCTTTGATATACAGTTACTGAATTTTCTGTCTTCCACTGTTAGTCATTTATTTTTTCTTCACAAGATACAGAGACTAAATTCAAGTCACCCTTGTCTTTTGATAAGGTATTTAGATTGATCATCTTAAATTCTTCAGTGTAAAATATTTTTTCTAGCCTCTGAATAGTTACATTTCCTATATCTTCCCCCTCACCGTTTCCCATTTCTTCTCATTTTTTCCTTTTTTAAATATACAGATATGAGACCTGTATGCAGAATCAGCCTTGATATCACTGAGGTTAAAATGCTCCTCAATTTTGTGCTTGCCAGTCTTCTGTCAAGATCAAATTAACACTACAACTTTCTGTTAAGTGACGACAAACCTGAACTCTTTTCTATGACCAGTTGAGATTTTACACTGCTTCTCAAGCAACTCTCTGTTCTGCACATACAGCTGTAATGCCCACTTGCCACTGCACATTAGAATGTAACTAAATAAAATTTTGATTACATTGTGTATTTAGCAGCATAAAATCTTCCCTGTGACTTCCCTGTAATTGTTACTTTTTGCTGATTTTATTACCCTGCATTTATCTGTCCTTGATCTCTATTACTCCTAGATCGCTGATGTAGTATATCACTTGTCCTTATACTTCTGAAAGCAAATTCAGATGTCACAATGGTTCCCTGTTTGCACTTTTTGACATCTGTTCCTGGAGCAGTAGTTAATTCATACACATGTTAGGTTTTCTTTGGATTTTTGAAAC